TGTTGGAATGTGTCTCACATCGCCTGGAGTTGCCCCATCTGTACTGATTATAAGGCTCTAATTTCTCTCTCTTTAATACCTTGGTTTTAAAGAATAGTGTGGGCTGGATTTTTCAATTGCCAAAGGGATATCATTTGGCTGCATCCTCTCAAGAGGTCTATAATTAATCTGAATATCACAATCAGCTCATGGTTAGTCCAGAACAGTGACCCATATGGTTAGCTCTGTTAGCATAAGTAACAATCATGAGAAATCACCTAAAAGGGCTAACCAAAGGGATGGCATTGTGTTCATTGTTCTTACTCATATACCCAAGTTTACCCATTCAAAATTCTGTTGTGCGACTGAGTTACAACCTAAGTCAAGAGTAGGGTTTAGGCACACTGATGTGTTTAGCATACACACCCGGACCCAAGGATATTGTGGCTTGGAGGCTAGGAAACATTTTGCTGCAGCATTGCACCCTGCACGGGTCAAGAGTTTGCTCTGGCCAGTCCTACTGAGAGAGAGTGCACCACTCAGCTTGTGTACGAAATCTTAAGGATTGAGACAAATCCTGGCAGAATAATATGCTGATGTATCCTGACAAAATTCGTTGAATATCTGAATAATTTGTGAGTCTGTGACCTACATTCTATGAATACAATGCAATAGCTTCTTACATTACAAGTCTTTCATACATCATCTTCCAAAGAGGTCATCCATGTACTCTAGATTTTGAGCTTTGTACTCGAGCTTCAATACTCCATTGTCTGTCTCTCTTAGCTGGACTGCTTTGCCTCTCCCTGAGTCACTTTCTAAATGTCTCAAATAGTGATGGATAATCAAATTGAGCAATTTTTTATTCTGATACTTTCTTGATGATAATATTGAGAACTGAAAATTTACTGATTCCTTCTGTTATGCATATGTATAAAGCTATAAGTTTCTAGTCAGTGCCTGGTAATGTTTTTGTTAACTTGATGAGGCCTTTCTTGAGGAATGCAGAGGCAACTGTTCCATTATCTTGGGCTACGAGAATGATGATTGCTCTTGGAGCTGCAAAAGGGCTTGCTTTCCTTCACAATGCTGAAAGGCCTGTTATCTATCGAGACTTCAAGACATCTAATATATTATTGGACTCTGTGAGTGGCGTTGACATGATATCATTATCCAAGAACATTTTTCTATATCTATCTTCTTGATAGGGTAGTGAATTTATTATCGTAAACCTTGCATTTGTCTGTGAGCCTGCAGGATTATACAGCCAAGCTTTCTGATTTTGGGCTTGCAAAAGCTGGGCCACAAGGTGATGAGACCCATGTATCCACTCGGGTAATGGGTACCTATGGTTATGCTGCTCCTGAATATGTAATGACTGGTATGGCTTCCTAACATCTTGTAATGGCTTGACTCATGAGCATTTCTTTTCTTGACTGACCTGGGAAGATAAAACTAATAATTAGGTGGGAGCCCAATGAATTGAAATGAATTAGAACCCTGGCTTTCTATGTGAAAAAATGTGTCAATTTGGTTAGTTTGATGAGTTTTTGTTGGGATTTCATATATCTAATGAGAAGCACAACAGGGAAATCTTACCCCTAGAGAACTGCATATTTGTTGTAGTATGAAAAGAGACTCATAAGAGCCAGAGTCATGCCCCATCAGGTCGGGATTGCATATATTTGTTGCATGATTTTGTCAATGAAAAAAATAATAATACATTTTCATGTCTCTGTTGTGTTCCACATGCATCACATGTTTCCTTTATTTGATGAAAAATAGTTTATTTTTTTTGGGTCTATTTGTGGGTGGGTGTGCATGCTTTTATGTGTGCGTTATTACACCCCTTTACATGGGTGCGCAATTCTCTGAATCAGGTTTATCTGAAATGAGCAGGACACCTAACCGCCAGGAGTGATGTGTACAGCTTTGGAGTCGTTCTTCTAGAGCTGTTGACGGGAAGGAAATCCGTTGACAAGACAAGGCCAAGCAGGGAACAAAGCTTGGTGGATTGGGCTCGGCCAAAACTGAACGACAAGAGAAAATTATTACAAATAATAGATCCCAGATTAGAGAACCAGTACTCGGTAAGGGCAGCTCAAAAAGCGTGCAGCTTGGCATACTACTGCCTAAGCCAAAACCCGAAAGCAAGGCCCTTGATGAGTGATGTGGTTGAAACTTTAGAGCCTCTGCAAAGCGCTAGTGTTGGTGCAAATGCAAATGTAGTTTCACTATCATCATCGTCAACTCTTGGTGCTACACTTGCCATGCCGGCAATCCCTGATTACCGAATGCAAATGCATCACGGTTTCGCTGGCAATGTTGGTGCCAGGGCCGTTTGTCGTTCTCCCAACCCTAATTGTTCTCCAGGTGGTCCTGCAGCGTGTCGGGTTAGATGAGAAATGTTACATGTTTGTGTTCTCTGTGTTTTATTGTGTTCAAAGTGATGTAATTTGCTTGCTAAAACATGGGTGCAATCTGCCACTTGGTGTAAATGGTAATGATGATCCCACTGAGCCTGTTGTCAATTATTTTGGTGCTGACAATGCTTATTTTCAATATTGTGTGGGCTTCTTTGTTAGTTGAAATTACATTGTAAATGTTATGTTATGGGGATTTATTGTAATTTAAATCTTTAATTAAAAAAGTTAGAATTTAAAGAAGTAATGTAACTAATGACACGCCAGAAAGGAGAGGAATTGGTTCCTGTTTTGGAAGGGATAGAAATTAGAGGCGAAAAAGATGTGGAAAATAAAATTGGAAGGATTTTAAAAGAAAATCAACAGTTGTGGAAAATGGAGAAAATACCAATGTTGAGATATTTTTCTGTGTGTTTTTTCTTTTTTTGGGCGTAAATAACTAACCACTTCAAGGTTTGAAGAAATACATTGAACTCTAAAAATTTTATAGGATAAATTACAAATGTATCTCATGAGATTTCTTTAAAGTACTTATTGTTTTATGTGATTTGAAAAATTATAAATATTTTTTCGTTGGAATTTTTTTATTTAACAGGATTAATTAAAAAAATGAAATTCATAATTGCTTTCCTCTACAATAATAAAATTATTTAAATTATTAATTGAAACATATTTCTAATATCATTAGAAAATGTTAATTGATTTGATGATTTATTAATAAAAAATACGATTTGTTATGAAATTAGAAACCTCAGGAAGTGGAATGTAATTTATAAAACTATAAGGAGCGATTTATATTTTAATCAAACTTTAAGGATGTATTTGTATTTTATCCAATTTTATAATTATATTGGCCTCTCTCAATTTTTTAATTTATATGACACTTGTCTCATTTCAATCAGTAGTTCATTAATTGTATAGATCGAAGTTATTTCTTTTATATTAAAATGCATATGTTATCCTGTGTATCTTTATATCTAGCATTAGTTCTAGTCACTTAAATCTTACTATGCAAGTCGGTATAATTATGCAAACTTGTAGGACAAATTTATTTATTTATTTATTTTTGAAATTTCAAAAAAAAATCAATATAATATATATATATATATATATTTACAATGAGTAGGAGAGTTGGAGAATGAGAACCTGCATAATGTAACGAGCTCAAACTCAGGCACTATAACCCCTTCATTAATCATCTAGTTTAACAACATTAAATTCATAATTCTCCATAACCCCAAATCTTGCACAATCAAAAAAACCATGTACCCATATATTTTCTTGAGTCTAGGATGTATCTACGCAATTGGGGTGCTATGTAAAGCACAACGGGCACTGTTGTGCATTCGTTGCGGCATATTTTGGAATTTATATCGATAATTTAAAGCGTTCAAGTTTTAGAATATATCATATAGAACATATCTACAAAAATTTAAGTTAATCAGATATTGACAGCCATTTCATCAAATTATATTTGTATTCAGTTTTATATTTAAAATAATACTAACCAATCATTTTTTTGAATACAAATAGATTATCGACATCCAATCAACTGAATTTTTTACAAATATAATTTACACGATATGATCTAAAAATAATCGAAATAAAACCCAAAGTGTGCCTTAACGAACATACAGCAGTGCCCGTTGTGCGCAGCTGGCCCCCCAATTCCACATGGGCCCTCTTTCCACAGTAGTGTGGAGACTGATTGGGCTTGTTGGTTTGGCCAGTTTGGGAGGACCGTGAAGAGATTGACTTTCACAACTTCCTCTACGATGAAGAAAATAGTTGCAGACACTGTAGCTTCAACTCCGTAGGTTTGATATGCTTATAATAAAGGATACAACAAAGGCAATATTGTCCTTTAATGTGTTCTAAATGGCTGCAAAACTTGGGAGATCCTAAAAACAACTCTTTTTTCTTCTTCTTCTTTTATATATATTATGATTTTATCGCCGACCCATTTGATGAGATTAGTTTGATTTGATTATTATGATTTTATCCTTATGCACAACTACCATCAACGAAAAAAATACAAAAAATATATAAATTATCTAATCCTAATTGTTTAAATCATTTGCAACGTTGATACTATTCACTCAACGTTGAATTATAATTTTTATCAGATTTTTTCATATTCCCAATTGTCCGAGAGGACGTCTAGACAGATGTTCTGGAGGTCGTTCGGACATGAAAAAAAAACTATCAAAGTTGCTATTGGGTGGACAAACGGGAGGATGTTTAATCCAACGGTAACAATAAAATTTGATCAAAAATCAAATGCTCCCTTCATCATTTGATGAAATTTTTTATTTTTCCCTCATTTGATATGGGTTTGATGCCAGCGTTGGGGCAGAAAAAATGAGCATGCTTCATCAAATTTAAATTTGATGAAAAGTCTTAATAAGGATTGGAGACGCTCTTAATATATCTAATACTCATATAATTTTATTGACAATACTGAAAAATCAAATTCCAATATTAATTTAAACCTACAGCGAAACAAAACACTTTTAAGCAATAGAAATTTATTTTTTAGAATAAAATTTTAACTAAATAAGTTCTTTTATTAGTTAATAATACTTGTAGGTTTATATTTTATTTTTATAAATTTTTTTATGACTAAATAAATTTGAATTAAATATTTTTGAAACTTAATAGATTCAACAGCTCAAAGATTAACTAAATTTTGATTTATATACTTTTAATATACTCAAATGAGGGGAAAATCAGAAAGTGAAATTAATCTATTAAAATACTGAGAACTAAAATAAAGCAAAAACACACATATGTTGATATCATTTGTGTGGTTAACCTTAAATTTTTAAGTCAAAAGGTACATTTATTTTCAGAGAAAATAACGAAGGTGTGAAAATAACCTAAAGAGTTTGACTCCCATCACAAATATGGATCATAAAATAAACATATTCTAACCAATTGTAGTTGCATACGTAAGTGTAAAAAAATTTCCATCGATTGGAATTTTAAACCCCCACTTTTCCCACACCAAAAAAGTTTCAAAAAAACAAAAATAAACAAAGGGAAAGTGGATGAACAACACATGAAGATGATGATGGTGGGGAAATTATTAAATATTCTTGGAATAATATGTGCCTGTATTTCTTACTCAATTATTATTTAATATATCTGTTTATGTTCTTCAATTACTTAACACAATATTTTATTTATTTATTTATTTTTACTAATTAAAATATTATAAAATATCAATTATTTATATTTTGAAATTATTAAATAATTATCGATGATGGTGATAGCAATGGTGAGGCTGAGGGGATAGACAAATGAAGATGAAATCACGGAGATAGAATATGATTGCCGGTGCTTTCGTGTACAAAAGGCCCCATGACTCGTGATTCCATGTCTTCATCCGCGGAAGTATTATAAAATGTTTTTATTGGATTTCACATTCTCCATTTCATAACATATTTTTGTTTAAAAAAAAGTGCACTTAGGTTGGACGTCATGTTGGGCTGGATTGTGTTTATGTTATATTACTTTGAGTTTGTTTAAAACTATCATAATACAAATTTAATTTGTTTATTATTTTTTATTATCGTGTTGTGCTACTTTTCGTCTGTATTTGATTTATATTTTATTAATATGTTATGTCAAAAGATATCACTTTTAATTAAAAATATCAAGTACATAAAAAAATTAAAAATTTTCTCAATAATAAATTTAATAAAATTAATTTCTACTAAATAAAATTACTCACAAGTATTATATAAAATTTTCTTATTGCATTTCACATTCCCCATTTATGCATCGGTTGGATCTACTAAAAAAAATCAATTTTTTAAGACAAAATAAAAAAAATCAGTTTATCATCAATTAAAAAAAATTAAATGTCAAATTAACTTTTTTCACTCACAAAAAATCAATTAATCATTGCAACACATTAGCTTTTTTAACTATCCAAAAAAGCCACCACTTTATTTATTTATTTATTTTACTTACTAATAAGTGAATTCCAAACGAGGCTTGAATAACATTTGCTAAAAGTACAATAATACTTCAAACACTAATAATTAGTGTACCCATCAAATTTATAAACTAAGCCACAATATGTGAGATCCCCCACTTGACCTAGGATTTACTTAACGTTTTGTCTAATTATTTGTTAGAAATGGTTTTGGAAAAAATAGATTTTTCTTTAAATTTGGTCTAATTTTTAGGTGGGATTCATGCGCCAAAGTTGATAGGTCTAAGTGGTAGCACGTTCTATGCCGTGTCATGATTTATATAGTATATTTGGTTGGTCAAAACTATTATTGGGAGTGTAAGAGGAGCTAATTTAAGCCCACTAAATTATTTAGGCCCAATAGCCCAAGATTAGTGGGCCCGAATTTATCGCAAGTCCAAGATTGGTGGGCTTGGATTTATCGCCGTCAAACGGGCTGAATGGCTCTAAGCCTCGAAAGGGTTCGGATCCACGAACCTAGAGACTTACTCGGGCCCGGACTCGAAAGGGTATTTCATTTTATCCTGGTAGATAGACGTCCACAATCTGAAAAGTATCGTGGAGATGACAAATCTGTCTTAAGGACACAGTATTAAATACTGGACTTGATAAAAAATTTGTTCGACACATAAATAAGGTAAGTAATTAATTTACTTTATATTTCATTTATTTTTATGAGATTCTGATTTTGTTTTTGTAACAAAATAAGAATCTGTTGCTTTATTTTATTTTATATACTATTTTGATTTTTGTAATCAAACAGTTTCTCTCATTTCTTTAATTCTTCGAATACGGTGAAAATTGTCCAACAATATTATGTTTATTAGTATACTAATTAGTATTTTCAACATTATTGACAAAAATATTCACAAAGTCAATCACAAAACGGGACACAACTTTCTCATATGAGTTGAGTTTCATCTTTTCGTACATGAGAGGGTTCTTTTTGGGTTTTGTAACCATTTTATGTGCAAATAGTAGAAAGAATTGAATTTTGTTGGGTAATTAGTCCATTGTTCGTAGCATCATACGATGTTATTTTTGTAGTATTCATAACTAGTGGCATATTGGGGGAAAAAAATTAAGTGAGACAAGGATGACCTACATTTTTTTGGTGGTTAAGGGACAATGAATAATTCAACTAATATATTTTGTAATTTATGAAAAATATCAGGTAACTAATGTCCTA